ATATATTGACCCTTTGTGTACGACAACTTAACCCCCTTGTGTACGATATTTAATCCTTTATGTACGATGTGTTCTTATCCCTTTGAGTACAATAACACTGTACTCTTAAGATTAAACTATCGTACTCAAGGGGTTCAGAACCTAACAGTGTGACACCATCAGCATCACACACACACAGAGGTCATATCAAGGTGTGGTCTCAGCTCGTGGTCACAATGATGGTTTGTTTCTCTTCAAGTTTCACTAAAACTCTTTGTTGATACAAGACATCCAAATCCACTTAAGAAACAGAAATTAAGTGGTAGTCATCTGCCTCGAGAACATTAGTTGTTCATTCTCGTGTAAACCAGACCTATTTCAGGTGCGTTTTGTTTATTAGTAAAAGGCATTGAAGACCACGGCCTAACTGTGTTTATTATGTATCCCTGACGATCAATTACTGTGGACACAACTCACTCCACACTAAAAACTCTTTACACAAGGAGGCTATGGATAGCCTATATATGCTCGGGTTCGACCTAGTGACCCTTAGGACAGGAGGCGAGTGTTAAGGTCCCTCGGCTACCGCACCACTATGATGAACTAAACGAAGCAGTTGTGTGCTGATCACGCTCAGTTTTTTTTTTTTATTAGGCACTCCCCTACATCCTTGTGTAAGGTGAAGCGCAGAAGCGTTTACAGCGCCCAACAGGGAAGCATGCTAAGCTCATGCTTGCCTTTATGTCTCACGAGTTAAGGGCGTAGAAGCCTGAAGAGTCAAGGGCATAGAAGCCTGAAGAGTCAATGGTTTATGTCATCAAGTTATTGGAAGCTCCAACTCCCTGAATACGAATTCGCAACTTTCGATTTACACCAGGTACCTACTTTACTGCTAGGTGAACAGGGACTAATGGGGGCTAGGAAGTATGTCCAAACAACTTCCACCGGCCCTGGAATCACGCTCAGTTGTGTGTTGACCTCGCTGAAGGAAAGGTCACGGCCGATTTAACTTTCGGGTATTAACTGTCAGTGCAATGGCTCGTGTCAGTTGCGAACAACTCTGTGCCTTTTTGAAGGGCGAGTTAGTGAAGGTCAAGGATGGAAAACTTGAAATTAAAGGAAGTGATTACGAAGATGAAGGAGGAAGACACGAGACAGAGAGAGTCTGTGTCTGACGAAAATACAGGCCAATGGAGGGACGTGAGGAGAGGAACGATCAATCTGGTGGTGAAAAAAGACGGAAACGACAACATCTAAGTGTACTAACTTTTTTAGTCCTTTGGGAGACGAATTGGACGATAGCAGAGTCAGGGACAAGGCTGACAAGGAAGGTACAAAAACCTTAATTGCTGGGGATTCCCAGGTAAGGTTCTTAGATGGAGATTTTTGTGTCAAAAATAGAAATGGGATGAGAGTGTGTTTGTCAGGAGCTGGAGTGGTGATATAGTTGACAGGATGGACAATATCATGTCTGGTAATGGGAACAACCTATTATCTGCCTCAGAAGACAATGTAATTGGCCGGTGTAGGAGTGAGGAGCTCCCTGATAAGTTCAAGGCAGCTATCAAACATATTATGATGAAGGAAGGGATCCCTATCATATGTGGTGTCCTGCCTAGAAGGCGAGTTAGCAATGAATGGTTGTCAAGGGCAGTTGGTGTCAACGGCCGTCTTGACGGATATTGCAAGTCAATATCAGTCCCATTCATTGACAACTGGGACAACTTCTACGGCAGTAGGGACCTTTATGCTAGGGATGGGGTGCACCTGTCTCGGGAGGGGGTGGCAACCCTGGCTGGCTCCCTTTAAGCTGCTGGGGGAACATGTGAGCACAGGGATCGGGGAGACTGTAGTGGGCAGGGGTAAACAGAGGGTAACAGAGAAATAGTGTTAGGAATGATGACAAAACTAAATTGGGCTGGGAGTTAAAACAAAAACCCAACAAATAAAAGACTCAGATCACGACTAACTTAAATGTCTACTCCACAAACAGTAGAAGTATGAGAAATAAAATGGATGTAATCAGGGGGTTGGTATGTACCGAAAAAATCGATATAATAGCATTCACCGGAACGTGGATAAACTTAGACTCACGTGAGTTACCTGTCGAATACCAAATTAAATGTTACAAATTATTTCATACCGATAGGTAGACTAGGAACGGAGGCGGGGTAGCAGTCTGTGTCAGGGATAATCTGAAGTGTGAAATGAATAAGGAAATAAAAATTTAACTAAATGCAGAAACAATTTGGATAGAATTAACTGATGGTAGATCTTGATAGGGTTAATGAGCGACTTATTTGGGATGAAATGCGCAGGGCTTCCAGACATAGCAAAGTCTGTATATTAGGCGACTATAACATTAGTCAAATAGAATGGACTGACCTTACGGGTAACTCAGAATCAGAGGATTTTCTTGAAAAGTTCAGGACTGTTTCCTAGGTCAACATATAGCCGAACCCACCCGGGGTAATAATATACTAGATTTAGTTCTGTCGAACAGAGAAAACCTCATTAGTAAAGTCGAGGTAGGGAACGAACTAGCTGACAGCAATTACAAAGAAGTGAAATTTTAAGTAGAAATTAATGTCAGATGCAAGGAAAATTCCATTGAAGTCCCAGATTTCAGAAGGACAAACTTTGATAGGTTGAAAAGGCAGCTGAGAGAAGGGGTATTACGTTTGGGGTGAATTACATGACCTCACACAATGCACCCACCTAGGGCGACCTCACTTTACCTGGTGACCTGACAATGATAACCTCACAAATATGACTGTTGAGGATGACCTGATCACGAGATCTGAAGTTAACGAGTTTCATAAGAATTTAAATACTGAGTTACTTCATGCACAAAGGCAGAATATACCATACAGAAAACTCAGATCAAATAACAATGACCCCAAATGGATAGACAATTATTTAAAGAATACTACCACCGAAAATTTAAACATGGTACTATATACAGAGAAAGTTAATAAAATAGATTAAGCGAGATAGTAGTGACTGGTAACGATGTTAGTAAAAAAAAATAAGACAAACTAAGGCCTAATAAGTCACCAGGTCCCGATGAGATATTTGCCAGAGTAGTAAAGAAATGTAAGGAAGAACTTAGTACGCCCTTAGCAAAGTTGTTTAACATGTCATTACAAACGGGTGTAGTACCAGAATCATGGAGGATAGAGATTGTGATAACGATTTTCAAGAAGGGAGATAGACCACTATCTTCTAACTACCGTCCAATCAGTTTAACATCAATTATAGGCAAACTGCCTGAAGCAATAATTTGAAACTCGATTCCAAATCACCTCGAGAAGCACAAGTTGATCAATGATTCCCAACATGGTTTCAAAGTGGGCATTCATGTTTGACAAAGCTATTAACATTCTTTTCAACTGTTTTCATATCAGTGGATGACGGACACGACTATGATGTGGTATACCTCGACTTTGGCAAAGCCTTCGACAGACTAATAAGAAAAGTGGAGGCTCATGGCATTGGAGGAGATATTCTAAAATAGATTAGGGCGTGGTTACAGGACAGGAAACAGCGAGTAAGCATTAACGGCACTAAATCTGATTGGGGTAACTTCACTAGTGGAGTACCCCAAGGCTCAGTACTTGAGCCATTACTGTTTATTACATACATAAATGACATAGATATAGGCATAAGCAGCAACATAAGTAAACTTGCTAAAGACACTATAAAATAGGATGTGTAATTAAATCTGACGAGGACTCCACTAAACTACAGGAAGATCTAAACGAATTTTTCACATGGTCTGAAAAATGGTCGATGAAATTTACTGTGGACAAATGCAAAGTACTTAGTCTAGGAGATGTAAACAGAGAAACCAGATAACATATGAACAATGCTGTTATAGAAAATCTGACTGTGAGAAAGATGTAGGGGTAATAATGATAAGTAGGAATCTTAAACCAAGACAACAATGTGCATTTGCTGGAAACAAGGTTAACAAAGTCCTTAGGTTCATACAGATGAGTGTTAGTTACAAGGCTAGCGAGGTCATCCTAAAACTATATCTTGCGCTTTTGAGACCTCACTTGGATTACCAGTTCAGTTTTAGTCACCGTTCTACAGGATGGGTATAGAATATCTAGAAAACATACAGAGGAGAATGACAAGACTAATCCCGGGCATTAGGAACCTTGAGTACAGAGACAGATTAAAGCATCATAATTTGCACTCTCTCGAGAGACGTTGAGTGAGGGGCGATATGATAGAGGTGTATAAATGGAAATAAGGGCTAAACAAAGGTGATATAACAAAGGTACTCAACCTATCCAACCAAGATTTAGGCGCGAGATAGGTAAACATTGGATTAGAAATAGAGTAGTGAATGAGTGGAAAAAATTAAGGAACTTCATCATTAACTTGAACACGCTGGGTAGTTTCATATACTGTATAGGCTGGACGGATATATGAGTGATAGGGATTAGGCGTTAGCGGGGCTGTCTAGTATAAGCCACTAGGCCCGCTGCAATTTCCTCCATTCTTATGTTATTGTGTAAGGACTGTTGCGCACACACACACACACACACATATACAAAAAAACATCTTGACGGAGGTGTCCGATGAATTTCAAAATGAATACTCTGACCCCTGTTGTCTCGGTAGGGTTGTCAAAATCCTTCGTCGGTTGTAACACATTGTCGAACACAAAATCGTAAAGGTATTTTTTTTGGGGGGGGGGAGCGTATGTACATAATTAACATAATATGAGATTACGTCCCGTTTTTAATCCAGCGTGAGACAGTGATGGTTAAGTGGTAGGTAATGTTGTTCATCTATTTTTATCCCTATTACCATAATTAGTTAAATGAAAACGAGTATAAACGTGAACACAAACATCATTTTTACCAAGACCCACAAGATCTTCCTCTTCCTCTCTCACAGGTGTTCTGGTCTGGTCACAACAACATCATTTATACAGGTAAGCGTCACTTCCTGAGGCCACAACACCTGTCGACTATCACGGTACACCTGCCTCTTGCGTCACCTACCTGTGAAGTTATGACTGGTCGCTGGCACGGCAGGTGAGGTGGAGGAGTGGGAGGGAGGAGAGGTTCACCTGGCTGTGGGAGGGTCAGGTGTGTACAGGTGAGGTGGAGGAGAAAGAGGGAGGGAGGAGACGTTCACCTGGCTGTTGGAGGGTCAGGTGTGTACAGGTGAGGTGGAGGAGAGAGAGGAGACGTTCACCTGGCTGTTGGAGGGTCAGGTGTGTACAGGTGAGGTGGAGGAGAGGGAGGGAGGGAGGAGACGTTCACCTGGCTGTTGGAGGGTCAGGTGTGTACAGGTGAGGTGGAGGAGAGAGAGGAGACGTTCACCTGGCTGTTAGAGTCTCAGGTGTGTACAGGTGAGGTGGTGGGATGGAGGGGGTGTGGTTGTCACTGGGTCAATATTTCATAATGTTCATCTTGTGGTTCAGAATGACGTCATCACTGTCTGTTATTGTTCACAGTGGTGATGATATGAACAGAGTGAGGAACAATGTCTCTCAGTTTGTGTCTCACTTTAGTCCTCACTTAAGTTGTTATTGTCCACAACTTGGACGACAACTTAACACTTCACCAAGACTTGAACAATAATCTCGCCAGACACAACAAATGTTTCCCACATTTGACTCGTTAATGTGAGGCTGAGAAATGTTGAAATGTCACCTTAATATTTACTTAGTGGCAACTGTGGGATGTCTGCCACTTAGGTCGTGACAACACACCGTGACCACGACCCACAGCCACTCGGGGGTCGTACACACACAGGGACACTCCGGAGGTCCAGCGGGAGAAGAACACCTCGCGGAGCCTCACAGTCACACGTCTTAACACCACGAGAGCAACCTGCTCACTGCCGCGGCCCAGTACACCTGCCACGACCTTTACCCCCACGACCCTCACCCCCCACGACCCTCACCCCTACGACCCTTACCCTCCACGACCCTCAACCCCCACGACTCTCTCCTCCCACGACCCTTAACCCCCACGATCCTTACACTCGACACCTCCCACGACCCTTAACCCCACGACGCCCTTATCACCTCCCCTCACCTGCCACCCTTATCCCCGACCCTCACCTCCCCCGTCCCTCACCTCCCACCCCTCCACCCCCCCGCCCCCACCCCCCCCACGACCTCACCCCACGTCCCTCACCCCCACGACCCTCCCCCGACCCTCACCCCCACGTCCTCACCCCCCCCACGACCCTCACCCCACCCTCACCCCCACACCCCCACGTCCCTCACCCCCCCACGACCCTCACCCCCACGACCCTTACACCCTCACCCCACGTCCCTCCCCCCACGTCCTCACCCCCCCCTTACCCCCCCGACCCCGTCCCCCCCCCCACGTCCCTCATCCCCCACGACCCTCACCCCCGACCCTGCCCCCACCCTCACCCCCCACGACCCCCACGTCCCTCACCCCACGACCTCACCCCCGACCCCACCCCACGACCCTCACCCCACGACCTCACCTCCCCGTCCCTCACCCCCTGACCCCCACCCCCCGACCCTTACCCCCACGACCCTCACCCCCCCCCCACTCCTCACCCCCCCCCACCCCACGACCCACCCCACCCTCACCCCCACGACCCTCACCCCCCCGTCCCTCACCCCCATGACCTCACCCCCCCGACCCTCACCCCACGTCCTCACCCCCACGACCCCACCCCCACCCTCACCCCCACGACCCCCCCCCTCACCTCCCACGTCCCTCACCCCACGACCCTTACCCCCCCTTACCCCCCCACCCTCACCCCCACGACCCTCACCCCACGACCTCACCACACGACCCCCACCTCCCGACCCTCACCCCACGTCCCTCATCCCCACGACCCTCACCTCCCACACCTCCCCCCACCCCCACCCCCACGACCCCCCATGACCCTCACCCCACGACCCTCACCCCCACCTCACCCCACCCCACGACCCTCCCCCTCCACGACCCCCCACGACCCCACCCCCGCCCTCACCCCCATGACCCCACCCCCACGCCCTCTCCCCACGACCTCACCTCCCACGACCCCCCACGACCTCCCCCCCATGACCCCACCCCCCACGACCTCACCCCCACGACCCCCCGTCACCCTCACCCCACGACCTCCCGCCCTTCCCCACGACCCCCCCCACGACCCTCACCCCACGACCTCACCCCCACGGCCCCCTCCCCGACCCTACCCCACCCTCACCCCGTCCCCAGCCCTCACCCCACGGCCCTCACCCCCACCCTCACCCCCACGACCCTCACCCCCACTCTCACCCCACGACACCCCACGACCCTCACCTCCCTCACCCCCACGACCTCACCCCCACCCTCACCGCCCACGACCCTCACCTCCACGTCCCTCATCCCCCACGACCTCACCTCCCACGACCTCACCTCCACGACCTCACCCCCACGACCTCCCCCACCCTCACCTCGACCCTCAACCCCACGTCCTCATCCCCCGACCCTCTCCCCGACCCTCACCCCCTCACCCCCGACCTCACCCCACGACCCTTACCCCCCGACCCTCACCCCACCCTGCCCCCGACCCTCACCTCCCACCGCCCTCACCCCCACCCCCCACGACACCTCCTCAACCCCATGACCCTCACGACACGACCCTCCCTCCCCCCACCTTACCCCACGGCCCGACCCACTCCCACCACGACCCATTACCTCCGTGACAAGAATCAGTAACATGATCAGTCTCCCCAAAGGTCATTCCTGGTGGGCTGTGTTTATGGACGAAGATGTCAGGTAATTCTCCAAGAGTTCTATGAATAAACGATGAGGTAACGACCGGTGTGTGTGTGTGTCTGTGTGTGTGTGTGTGTGTGTGTGTGTGTGTGTGTGTGTGTGTGTGTGTGTGTGTGTGTGTGTGTGTGTGTGTGTGTGTGTATGTGTCGTCATGGTTGTCTCATATCGTCATGGCAAGAGAAGTGGACGAGGCTTGATGGAAAAGACAATGGGATATAAATGAGAAGTGAGTCGGCTGCTGTTTCCTGATACATTGTAGTAATGGACGATTCAAAAACACATGTATAAACCTTAGCGAATATTGTGGGTAGTGGGAGGGGGGGATGTTGAGTGAATATGAACAAATGGAATGAAAATAAGGAAAGAAATAAGACTGATAGGATGAACGATATATATAGTGAGAGGCGTAATTTTTTCACTATGTGTTGTCCAGCCATCACCACCACCATCATCACCATCATCATCATCATCATTGACCACCAGAAGTCTTACATCTCTGGCTGCACAAGTTATTAACGACTAACTCCTTCAGCGCCTCGTCAGGTTACCAGAACAACAACACTTTCCTCACACCTCGCCGGCAGACAACAACTGAACCACCATCAGGTAGTTCTCTTAAACTCAATGAGGTGTATCTACTAATTGGCTCTTCCTCACCACCGTCAGATGTCGCCTCAAACGCACACTGCCAATAACAATAATCCGACAAACACACTATTTCCTCGCCTCACACACACACACTCCAAAAATCTCACCAACACCAGCATTTCCTCGTGCATTTCGCCTTCAGGATTTTTCTCCAGGATAAACTCTTGCTAAGCGCCCGTCTCTCTCCAGTTGTTGTTGTGGGACCTCCATCTGTCCCTCACACTGCTCAAGGCAACGACGCCCTCTCCAGCTGTTGTTGAATCTGGCCTATTTCACTTCAGCTCCTGCAGAAGAGATCGTGAAACACACTCCTACTGCACCTGGAGATGGTCTTTCCAATCCAATACCTGCCGAAGATGTCCTCCAGACCGTGAGGTGAAGACGGACACTCGTTCCAGTTCGTGATCAAGAAGTTTTCCCAGATTAGCTGGTTTGTCTTTCTCTCTCTCTCTCTCTCTCTCTTTTCTTCCACCTCCAATTAAGTAAAGTTAGACCATTATTATTCCCCGCCGTCCAGGAAGGGTAACTTAGAGAAGCTTGGTCAACGGTACGTGCTTGTGTTCTTGGGTCAGTGGGTCCGTGTGTGTGTGTGGTGTCCTTGGACGAGTGGATCTGTGCTTGTCTCTGAATCAATACGTCAGTGCTTGTGTCTTTGGGCTTCAACAAGGTATCACATGACCTTGATAAATCAGCGCCATCTATTATTACCTTCGTGAGTTACAGAGACTCGAGTGTTTAAGTCAAGGTGATGAAGATGTGTTTGTCTGTCTGTCTCTAATCCTTCAATGGTTCTCTTGTTCCTGATGTAGGTTATAAATGGCCTCCTCCTCCTCCTCCTCCTCCCACTGTCACTCCTGGTACACGTAAGAGCTGTTGCTATTTCATCCCCTCACTCACTCACTCACTCACTCACTCACTTACTCAATCTCCTTTTCCTCACGAACCTTCAACCCACCCCACCCCACCCCACCCCACCCCACCCCACCCTCCCCCCCACCCCTCCTTACGACCATCCACGACCTCTTCCTCCTCGAACCTTACGACTTCTCTCGAACCTGACGACCCTCCCATCGACCCCTCTTCAGGATTCTCTTATGACCCTCAAATACAATTCTTCAAATACATTCCTCAAATAGTTTTAACAAATCACATCTCTTCAAATACAATGCCTCAAATATAGCCAGAGGTTTTCAGGCCAACCTTCACTTCCCGCCATGATTCACGCCCCCCACCAGCCATGAAGACCATAATTTTATCCCATATATCTTTATCCTGGGCGTGAAAATAGCACTCTTGGTGATAATATTTTCAGCCAAGTAATAATCTGTCAGAGGCACCGACCAACTATCCTCTTAAATTCTCGTCAAGTTTGTTTTAAAGTTGGATAAAACTCCGCTATCTGTGTCAGATCTGAGGTGGATAAAAATGCTGGATGGAGTTTTTTCGTTAGTTAAATCTTTCGTGTTGACTATCTCCTTTTTCTCTCTCTCTCTCTCTCTCTCTTTTTACATCTTTTTCTCCATGTTTCTTTATCTGTGTGTGTGTGTGTGTGTGTGTCAATATGTCTGTGTGTGTGTGTGTCAATATGTCTGTTAGTCTGACTGTCTTTCTAGCTATTTGTCTCTACATTAACTAGATACGTTCACTAAGCACCAGTTAGGAGGCATTATTTTTATCACCTGGAGGAGAGAGAGGTGTACTGGACACTCACCTGGAGGGGAGAAGGCTCCCCTGAAGCCAACTCAACAGGTGTGAGAGGAGTAATTGTCATGGGGAAGAAAATAACTCTCTCCTCCTCCTCCTCTCCTCCTCTTCCTCCTCCTCTTCTCGTCCTCCTCCTCTTCCTCGTCCTCCTCCTCCTCCTCCTCCTCCTCCTCTTCCTCGCCCTCCTCCTCTTACGTCAACCTGAGAACAAATAATCTAATTAATCCTCAGGTATTCCTCCTCCTAATTAGGTAAGTTAATGAGAAGTAATTGCGAGGTTATTAGTACCCATTGATAGAGAGGCGAGTCAAAGGTAATTATGTTTAGAGTATAATTAGTACTCCGTTAACAGTGAACCAGCATTATGTTAATTATCTTTCACAGGTAATTAATGATGTGTAATTGTCTTGTATAACATTAAGAGTTATTATCTTAAGTTCATAATTAAATAGAAGAGTTTAACAGTAATGAAATGTTTACACAGGAGAGTTTAGTTCTTATAGTATTACACCTATGATAAAGATCCCCCCCCCTCACCCTCCACCATCACCACCACCACCATCATCACCACCACCACCATTACCATCATCACGTCACCACCATCATCACCACAACACTACCATCCCCACCCTTCACCACCACCACCTCCCCCTCACCATCCTCCCTCCACCATCCCTCCCTCACCACCATCCCTCCCTCACCATCCCTCCCTCACCACCATCCCTCCCTCACCACCATCCTCCA